TCAAAGAGTTAAGACCGTAGTGGGTACAATATGGGTTTAATGAACTCATGTGTGTAATCACATGATGTTGGGGTGTAAATGGTATTTTCCTTGTCCCACCAATACTTCGAGGGGTAGCCCACCCTTCAGTACAAAAGGACTATGAACATTTAGTTTTGTATCGTGACCATGAGAGACTTGTCCTGAGATACTAACAGATGGTAAAATCTCTCACCCAGTAATGTGTAATATGTGTGGAAATACTTGTTTTTCACTCATCTTCGGTTAAATGTTCTATTTTTGGTAAAATGTCAAAGATTAGAAAGAAAATGTGCGGCAACATTTTTCTTTTGTGGGGGAGAGTGTCGCGCTCTAAAAGTAGTTATAAAACTTACATTTTTCTGAATTGTTGGGAAAATCTTTAAAGACTATTCTTATTTAATTGTGTTTTGTTTTTGGACACATTTCTAGTTAACTTTCGTAGTTTACTGGCTCCAGGAGGTCAGAGTTCAGACGTGTGATGTCATCAGTAAGCGCAGAAGAAAAAACAGTGTCTGAGACGTGAGAGAGCGATGTTTTGCTGATGACACGCTATGCTGCCTGTAAACTCCAAACCTGAACTGAGGAGAATAAAGTTGCAAAGAAAAGGAGAGTGCAGTCATGTCTCTCTGAGGGTGCAACACTCATGCACTCAAAGACTGAACCTAAACTGGAAGACTAACGTGGAGTCTCACGCAATGATCGCGCGCCGGTGGAGGCGTCACCATTAAGTAGCTCCCTCCGCTGACGCTGATCCACTGCAGGTGTGTGGCATCCTCCTTGGGCGTGGCCAGTCATCCACAGGCCTGACGGTGCCTGTAGCCCCGCCTCCTGGCCACAGCCACAGCCACAACCACAACCACACACATACACATACACATACATAGACACATGGAACAAAACCCCAGACAGCAGAACAGAGCACCCACCAAATAATACCAATAATAATAATAATACCAATAATAGTCCACACTTCTCACTGATCTCGAGTCCCCAGAGCTGGGTCCGTGACAGTGAGACGCCTGCATGTGGGAATGATAACCCACTGTCTATATCCCTGCAACGTCTGTCGGTCGGTCAGTATGAGTGAGGGAGGAGGCTGGTCTACCGACGGCCTGCTCAGATGTTCGCTATTGGCTTACACTGAACCCAAATGAAACCTCACAGCGCTGTTTCACACTGTGAAGCATCAGCCAGACATTCAGCACGCAGTAGGCGCTGAAAGCTTCACCACAGCAAGCCTGCACGCTGTACCCCCGTGGGACACGCCCACCGCCAAATGTCACGGCGTGTGACCGAGACACGCCGACCAGTGTGACAAAACCGCAGCGAGAACACACGGCTCTTTAAAAGGTGATGACCAGACAACAAGGCCTCACAGAAACAGATGTACAATCTACACACACACACACACAC